CAGTGTGTGTGTGTGTGTGTGTGTGTGTGTGTGTGTGTGTGTGTGTGTGTGTGTGTGTGTGTGTGTGTGTGTGTGTGGGTGGTAATTTTTACAATAATTTTCTATTATATGTAATTTAATATCATTCATTTCACAAAATATTATTAATATTAGTATAAACGGATATAATAATTGGATTCAAAATTATATGTACATACAAATATTAAATTGTTTAATGTCTATTAGTCTTGATAATGTAAATACATTTTATTATTGAATTTGATGAATCCATTTATCAAACCATCCTTAAAAGTATGTCATCATTCATCAGAGATGCTATTGGCATTAGTCTGATGAAAATGAATTAAAAAACTCACTGATTTTGTTCTTTTACTTTTAAATTACTTTGACTTAAAAAAAAATTCATTTCTTCAATCTTTAAAATAATTTACATTACCTTACAATAAAAATAAAATATTAAAATAATAAAATATTAAAAAGTTATTTCTTTCTGTAATATCAATAATATATTACATTTTTTATTTCAGCAGGACCACTGTGTCCCTTTGGCGCAGAGGATAGCGCGTTGGACTTCTAATCCAAAGGTCGTGGGTTCGATCCCCACAAGGGATGATACTTTTTTTTTAAATTTTTATTTTTTATTCGAAATGTATCTAACAATTATGCGATACCCATTTATTTTCCACGAACCAGTTAAATAATAATTATATTAAAAATTAAATTGTAAATACAAATGAGTTATGAATAAAGTAATCTTACACATACGATACATTGATAAAAGTATTTAGTTAGATTAAAGATTGGTAAAATATAGATCATTAGAGATTGGTGAAATACAGACAAGTTTCTTAAAAATCTGTTTAATAGTAATGCGAGAAGCATTTTAATTTTAATTACGTTCTAAAAATGAAATGAAATATAAATTAATAAAATCGTATGACAATAAATAACATTTATATTATAATTTATTTAATTTCGATTTGCTTCAAATTAAAAATAAATAAAATTATAATTCAATATATTTATGCTATGTATATATTTTATGTTATCATTTTGCACATATATATTATAAATATTTTGAATTAGTTTATTTATTTTTAATTTAGAGCAGATCGAAATATTATATATATTTAATTGCGTATAATATTAATATAGAAGACACTCATAATCAGAGAACATTTTATTATGCAAATTTCATTATGTAAATTACATAAATTTTATGATATATCATTATATATTATATATTAGATGTACTTTAACATATTACAATATTATACAACATTATAATAATTTCTTAAACGATATATTTAAGATACAATACGAATATCAGAACAAGTCTTGAAAGTTTCTTGAGGACCGCAACCCATTTTGTGTGTACCATCTTCACATTTACCCCAGTTATTTGCAGCAATATACTCCCATCTAAAAGTTAAATACAGATAAAGATTTATTATAACATAAACTAAAAATTATAAATTTTATTCTCTCTCTCTCTCTCTCTTTCTCTCTCTCTTCTCCTTTCTATAACTCTTAAATATATTTTTAATATTTATTTTTTACAAAAAGAGCTTTTCATAATAATCTACAAATATACATACTAGATTTTGGAAAATCTATAGTAGTAATTTTTAATGAATATTAAATGGTAATTGAACATAATAAGAATAGAGCAATTAAAAATTATATGTTCCATACATATATTAAAAAATGGTATGTGATTGTACAATAACATGTCTTTAATTTTAAAAAATTCAAATTGTTTAATATTTAATGATTGTATATAATTTTGAAAAAAAAAAAGTTTCGTTTTGATACTTTTATTATCGGAAAAATAGAAAAATTTAAAGAAGAAGAAATTGAACAATTTATATATTATTTACATGTTATTTATTAAAAAATAATAAGAAGGAATGGATAAAGAAATAGAGGTATGTATATATTGCTATTATTATCGAAACTTGGAAACATTACTGTCTTTTGATTCTTACCTCAATACACAGTGCTCACAAGTGAGATTCTCTGGCAAATAAGCATTCATTTTAAAATCTTTGTTATGATTTTTCAAGATGTATTTATTATTGCCATCTGTCAGTTGCAATGGATATTTGGCAAAACATTCTTCAGTTTCCAACTCCTTTTTATCATTAAGAGGACAAATAGAATATTGGAAATGACCCATATGGTTAGCAGTGAGTTTGACTACAAGTTCAATTATTTGTCCTGCTTTATAGCTGCAAAACATAAAATATTATAATTATTATGTTATGAGAAGAATTAAAAAATTTTTAATTTATCAATTAAGCCATATTAAATAGAACAATTCAATATTGCTGTATAAGTTTAAATCATTTGTTTTCTATTTACATCATTTCTAAAATATAATATTTGTTAAAAAAGTATTTCAGTTTGTCGGGTCAAAAAAATCGATTTTTTTATTGCATTTTTAGAAAATTGCTACAATTTTGTAATTCTTTGTGCGGCCAACAATCATGATCATGTTATAATAATTTCTGATTGTGAAGTTAGGCATTGCAATAAATATTAACGTCAAGAGAAAAATAAAAATTGTAAAACAGCTTTATTCTGACAATACTATTTACAAAATCTATGATATTAATCTTTATCTTAAATATTCAAATAAGAGTATAGAGATGAGGAATTGTTGTGATATCAGGATGTGATTTAGAAGAAAATTGAAATATCATCCTCATTCGACTTACGCTAATCAAGCACGTACATGCTTACATTCTACATATATATATTTTATGCAGATATATGTACAAATAGAAGTCTAAAATAAACCTCGCAGTTCTTACTTGAATAATTTGTCAATGCTATCATAACTTTAAAGACTGATAAATTAGGAAGTTCTTAATGGAAGAGGGTTAATTATATCATTTTGGAAACATTTTAAGTCAGGTATAAGAATCTGATATAAAAAAATAGAGCATTCCATTTAAAAAATTAATGGTGACTTTCATGTTATCTTGAAAAATCGATTTCCGAAAAAATCGATTTTACTTTTACTTATCTCCCTTCAAATGGTACAACTTTTATTTGAAATATCTTTCTCTAAAATTAAAAACAAAGCAAATTTGAGTGGTGATCATTTAAAATAGAACATCTCATATTATCACAGATTATGCAGTTTCTCCAAATTTATTTAGATTAATTTGTTTATTTTTATTTCTTTTGAAATTTTAATGTTTTTTTAAAGTTTTTGAAAATAATTATTAAAAAATATACTTACGTTTTTACAATAGTACCAGTACCATATTTTCCACCATTTTCATTTGGTCTAGGCTGTGGCAGTCTATAATCATCTCCACAGAGACCACATTTGCCATCATTACCTATTTGTTCCTGTATAAATTAACAAATAACTAATTTAAATACCATATCTTCTAAATTAAAAATAAAAGTTTTATCATTACAAAAAGATATAATACAAAGGAAATAATACAATGTATACAAGTATTTTTAATGTAAAACACTAATAATATAATTTAAAACATTAGTTTACAAATATTATATAATTTTAAGTAAAAATAAGGCCAAAAAGAACGAGCACAAGAAATATAGAAGTTACAGATAAAGTTAATAATCAATATTGAAGTAATAACACATAGTAAAGATATTGATAATACATTTAAGGCAGTTACTGCCTGGAGCTCAAGGCGTGCGGACGCGATGTGTGGTGTGCTATTCGGTGCGAACTGCGCCGCACTCCTGCGCGTGCTTTATTCGGTTTAGTGTAAACTGTTTATCTGATAATTGACAACCCCTTAAAGACTGTCTTGTTTCTTTAAAAATGACATGTTTATGCGATCATAATAATTCTAGTTAACAAATTTAACGACGATGAGCATATTGGATGAACGCAGTATCTTGTCTTTGTCTTTGTATGCACTAAAGATGACTCAAATTAGAATCGAAACGTATGTTTTATATATTTAAGTTGTAATAAAGAAGTCAATTGCGCAAACAGCGCTGATTCTCATTTGCCCGAAAAATATTTTGTTAATTGGAAACTATCAGTTTGTATTGTCAATAAAATTTAATAGATTTATTATATGTATATCTACATAAAATATGAATTGTATAGAACGATCTTAAGACCAAACTGACATACAAAAATTTGACATGCCGGGACATATTATAAGACATGTACATAACGCTCTCTTAGTATATTATATTATATCATATAATATATTACTTATATTCTTGTTAATGTTAATGCCTTAATTATATATAAATATAATATTAAGGCACGATTATTTTTCAAAATCTTTATAGATAAATCTTTTAGATTTGAATAGAAATATGTAATATTTAAAAATAATTATTAATTTACAAATATTTTTACTAATATTTTTAATAAATATTTAATAAATATTGATAAAATAATAAATTATAGAAATATAAATTAAAAAATATTAAAATATATTCAACTAATATATTTTTATTTATTATACTATATTATTTTATATTCGCTTATTATATTATTTCATAGTTATTAAAAACGATTTTAACGCAACCCAGGCGCGCTAAATTTTCATCGCATTTTTTGCACTAATTAATATTCTCTGATATATAAATTTCTTTATGAAATGGACTTGGAAATTTTTCTTACATATATGTGCGTGTGTGTGTGTGTGTGTGTGTGTGTGTGTGTGTATTTTTTTAAATATAAATAGTAAAAAGAAAACGTCTAACTTGTAATTAAAGATTCAGTTTTTAACTTTATATGATGCAACTTACAAATAAACCACCACAATAATTTCCATCATCATCATAATTGATAGGTGTATTGAATCCCTTCCTCCAAGCACTTCCTCTATTTACAGGTTCCATAAGCATTCCATGTCCATGAGCTTCTTTAAAAGAAAAAATTATAAAAGCAAAGCTAATCAAAATCTTGACGTACATTGTATTATCAAAATATGTTCAATTTTAAGTATATATTTTTTATTGGAATTCAACTTAAATACTTATATTTAAATTTTAGCCGTATTTTCGGCTAAAATTGCTTACTTTTTATATGATAGCAGTAAGAGATAAAATTAATTTAAATATTGATTTATGATAAGATAAGCAACTTAATATTCTGTAATAATTTTCACCTTGAGATTAACTTTATTCTTTTTATTGATCTTTTACTTTTTACTTATTTGTATACTTATTGCTACAAGAGGTGTTCAAAATGATGACCTTGAGCATCAGTGCATTTTCTGAATCGATACAGAGATAAATAACATAAATAATATTACACGATAAATTTCATTCGAATCAATTGCAATTCTCTTTTTACACACTCCTTCCTGTCTTCTCTGATTATTTTGCTATACATTTATTGTTTTAACTTTCCCCATAAACAAAAATCCATAAATATTAAATTTGGGGAACATGCAGATCATCTATTATTTTCTAACTGATTAATCAACTGATCTCTAAATTTTCTGTTTAGTAACAATCCATATAGAATGAGTAAGACATCCATCTTATTAGTTGACATTGATTATCATATGTTCAGTGAAAAATCTAATAATAATGGAAAAATTCTGTTAAAATCTGTGCATACTTGCAATTATTTAATGCTTCATTAATAAAATAAGAATTATTTTATTATTAAAATTCTGCCCCAGATGTTTATGGATCAAAGTTTCTGCCTGTCCACTTTTCTTGGCCAATATGAATTTTCTATTAATCAATAGTGCATATTGAAAAGATTTACTTGACCATGATTTATAAAACTTTGTTAGTAAATAAGATTTTAATGAAGAACATATCATGTAATCTCCCTAGTGTTCATTCACAGACTTGTAGGATTTTGAAAATCATTGCTATGTAACTCTTGATGAAGTGAGATATGGAAGGAATGAAATTTGTTAGAATGGAGTATTTGCAAAATACTTCATTGACTAATACGACTTTGTATGTTCAAACTATCTTGTACTGATATGTAATGTAACAGCGATTAAAATGTTTGTTGCATTTCTGTCAGTAGTTTTCTTGATTTGTTTGCGTTTTTTATTATGCTTTTTGTTTCTTGAAATGTTTTTAATATATTTGAAAAAAACAGAGCGATAGATCAAAAGATAGATCGAAAAATCTTTCTTTATACAAACGCACTGCTTTTCTCATAATTTGGCGATATTCTTCTAGACGAAAATCATATCAATTACAATTAATAATTACGAAAAAAATCATATCAAGTATTTCGGCATTAAGACAAGCATTATTATCAATAAATAAATTCAAACTAATAATATCTTTGACTATGATTGCGTTTGGAGAGTACGCTATTAGACCTATCACATAATTTCATCTTTATTGCTCATTACATATAAATTAAGGATAAAATAATGCGATAGTTCTAATAGCGCGCTCCCCGAACTCAGCCTATGGCTGCGTTCCGATATTCACTGCCAGTAATGAAAATATAGTTTAAATCACGTATATTATAGATTTTCAATACTTAGCAGTGAATATCGAAAGCAGCCTACATAAGTATGGATGCCAGCAGCCAACTTCACACTTGTTGT